AGATGAAGGTCCCTCCTCTGCTGTAGTTCACTCTTCACCTGCCGAGCCCGTTCACCACGTCAGCAGCACAAACACGGCCGCTCTTTGTCTGACTCTTATCTCAGGCCTCGTCCATACCTTCCTGATCGCTGTCTGCATCTCTGTAAGGGCCCGATTGAAGCTCACACACATTGTGCAATTGTGTGTGTGTTGGAGGTGACCCGTGCAGGAAAGCAGGGGAGGGGGCGGGGGAGAGAACATCTATTTACTTTGGCAGCCTGACAAGGGGAAATGAACTGACTTCAAAGGCAGTTCCTCCACACACAGCAAAACTGAAGAGACGCCGCTGCACGTATGAAGTGTGTGAGCTTCGACAGGAATGTCCTGTTAATAATACACACTGACAGACTCTCATTGTTTGTGTCAAATTGAAAAAAAAAATCTTCTCTTTTTTTTAGTTATCATCAGCTCAGTTCTCAGGTTTTCTTGTTCACGGCTGATTGTTCAAACTTTAGAAACGTTTACTTCAGCTAACCTGAACGTTCAAGATCAATTACAACTTTAGATTTCTGAGACAAAAACCAAGTTATTAATGACCTCTGTTTGTGTCTGTTGTGTCTGTTGTGTGACAGGGATGCTGCAGAGACGACCGACCGTGGTCTGTGTGTGACAGGGATGCTGCAGAGACGACCGACCGTGGAGGACTTCGTGGACGCCCTGGTGTCAGAGCTGAACCCAAACTTTGAGACTTTTATCATGGACTCTGAAAACTGAAGGAAGTCTCGCTGCTCATGGACTCTGTGGTCAGAGACGCTGCAGAGGCCGCTACAGCACACAGTGTCAGTCTGTAGGAGACACCTGAGCTCCAGACGTCTCACTGTCCTCACGTCTCACTGACTTCAGTCTCACTGTCCTCGGTCTCACTGTCCTCACGTCTCACTGACTTCAGTCTTACTGTCCTCACGTCTCACTGCTGCTCATTAAACATGACGTTTTTTTTTAGACCTGAAGTTGTTGAACCTCCTCCTGATGTTTTCATCCATTATTTCATGTCTCTAATCACAGATGATCACAGTTCTCCAGGCCACATCTTTATGTGTTTCCTCTCTGATCTAATCAGGCCGAGGAGGAGGAGGAGGAGGAGGAGGAGGAGGAGCAGCTGATCTGCTCTTCCTGTCATGTGCTGGTTGTTTGGCTGGTAGATTAACGCCGCTCCGTCTGTTCTGTCTCTCAGTGGGAGAACCTGTGTTGAACCTGTGAACGACAGACTGGACTTCACGACCTTAGTCGACCTTGGACCGTCACTCCCTCGACTTAATGCAGTGATGATCTCATTTAGTTGAAAATGAATAATAATAATGAAAAATCCTTCAGATACGCAGTGAGTCCATGGACATATTTCAGTGTTTTTAAATATGTCCGTTTCCTGTTGGTGGATTTATCGTCAGTGTCGTATCAGACAAACGAAAAGGAAATATGTTTGCTATAAAAAACCCCAGAATGTTCTCTTCAGTCATGCCATACAGGAAAGCCAACTAATTAGAAAAGATTTAAAATTTAAAACAAAGAAATAATTACTCAAAATATAAACTTCAAGTAGTTTATCTACAGATCACAACCGTCAACACCTGATCAGGAATGAAATGCTGTCAAACATGTCGTCAGTCGCCTCATCTACGTTACAAAAATATTGACCTATGTGGGATTTTGTTTGTTTTTTTACAGTATCTACAACATTCCTCGTCTTTATGCTGCCCCCTGGTGTTAGGATTGTCTTCAGCGTGCAACTTGAGCACTTCTCACGCGCGTCTTCACACCTAAAATTTCACAAATGTGTCCATTACATAAAAAAAAAAAAGCTTCATAACACCAGATGTGTGTGACAGTTGGTCAGGTGGAGGCTCCGTCTGAATCACACTGCTCCACAGAGCCACCGCTTCTTCATTCAGTCTCACCTCATGGGCCAGTGAGTTCACATTCCCTCTCTCTCTCTCTCTCTGTGTGTGTGTGTGTGTGTGTGTGTAATTTGAACTGGGTCCTGGCTGAGGCTGTAGTTCAGTCCAGGATCAAGGTTCAAGGGTGAAACACGAGTCCAAAGAGTTCAAGTCATCCTGGACTGAGC